CGACTCTTGCATAGCTTATCGCCTTTGGGTACCCAGGCATCCCCCAGTGCCGGCAGCCTCAAGATTGCTGCAGCATTTCGTTCTGTGCATTATCGCAAGCTGTTGTGAGTTGGGCTGGCACGTGTGACCGCATGTTGTGTGTGTGTGTGCAAAAGGTATAAGAATCAAAGCTTTGAGTCCAATTGGCGTGTGTCCCACCGCCTCCCTCACTGGTAACAAAGCTGCCAAGTTGCCCTTTGGCAGTAAAATCATGTCGATTGTCGTCTTGGGTGGTCCCTATTGATCTTTGGAGGGATTGAGCACAATCGACTCGCGAATGTGTCCAGAGCTTGATCTATTGGTTGCTTAACAAAGAATGGCAACTGCAGTGGGTAACAGGATTAGGCACTTACAGCCGGTTGCAGAATTTCCAGCAACATGGGCTGCACAACCTATGGACAGGAAGGCCTCCGCAAACCTTGTTGTGTTGCAAGCATATGGACAAGTCCAAATCTGTATATCTTGTGTCACTGTCTTTTAGCTTCAAGCAACTTTATGTCCTAATGCCAATAATCGTACTGAAAATGGAATCTCACTATTGTGTTGTTACATCCCTAAAACGCAGAAGAGGAGCCTCTCCTGAGCACAAAGGTATTCCCTGGCCTGACTTGAACTGGCATTCCCTTGGCCGCCATGGTACGATCAGAAAAGTGCTGATGTTACTCCTTTCACCTTTGTGGCGACTTGTGTTATTGCCATTGATGTTGCCCATCTTGCTATCACTCAGTAGTTTGACCTTGGGTTTCTGCTTACAAGCAGTCACCAACATCGTCAGCCATCATAACATAATTAGAAAAGTGTTTGATGTCTGCTCCATTCACAGATGCAAGACTTGTGTTGTTGCTATTACTGTTGCCCGTTTTTCAATCATTTTGGCAATGTGTTGGGTGGAAGATACTGACTTGTGACTTTCTTGTTGATAATCAACAATTGTTTGGGTCCTTCCTCAATATACGTATGTTTTGTGCCAATTAGAAAGTGTCATAGTCTCACAGATAAGGATCCTCGTTCTCCTTTTGAATGAAGTTGATGATAAGACTATCAACCGACATGAATTTGTCTCAAAAGCATTAGAGTGCATAATATAGTTAGTTAGTCCCAAGTTTTGCAAACAATATACTAAAATGTGATATGGTCTTTTCACCAGTCTGTAGAAGGAAAATATGTCGCAGCAAGGGATCCAACATGTACGTGGAGGTGGGAGTGCAACAAGCGCCAGTTCCGATACTGGTAAGTACGACCATCATGTTGTGAGGCCTTTTGATAGTAGTCTGTGGATATTACCAAGGTGCAATTGTGTGTTTGGCCCATAAGGAATTTACTATACCACAGCATTATGTAAGCGTTTCTACATTCTACATTTGCAGCTTTGTCTTGAAGTTGTTGTGGCAGAAATATTTTATAGCTAACGGATGATAGTGCAAGGGGTGTTGTACAGCCGGGGATTTGGTTGATAGATCTGATTTTATTGAATTGGGGTGACATTGCATAGGGCACAACACCATAATGGGCGAAGTGAAATAGTATCGCAGCATCTTGCAACTTAACTTCGATTGACGATGCATTTTGGATTGGCACCAATTGGCAGTAGTATGTTTTGTCAGTCAATATGATAAGGGGGTGGATTTATATGCAATCTGGGAAGGAGATTGGTATGCCCAATGCATCATGCATCATATCCTGCCCTGCGTTGCTCTAGCATTGAAATCATGAGCACCCTGCCCTTGCACTTAAATTATGGGCTTTTGTAAGGTCTTTGTGACCTCTTTACACTTTGTGCCATGCCAACCCAAAAGCAAGGGCTTAGGTAGCAGAAAAGGAGCAAAGGATGGTATCCAGACATATGAAAAGCCAACCTCCCCTAGTCAACCCCCCACCAGTCCACCTCCCACTAGTGAACCTCCCACTGCCAGGCAAGGCGGACTACACATCAAGATAGGGATTTGTGGTGTAAATGAGTCCTTTTGAAGCTTGTTCCATATGCCGCTCATTCTGGACTGCCATCAACACCATGAAGTGAAGAGTCTTTGTGTTCCTTGACTGACTTCGTCGCAAAATTGCTCATACCTCTACCAACCTCCCCATTTGATAGAAGCTCAAGATAGTACCCGGGCAAGAAAAGCCAGGTCAAGGTACCCGGAGTTTGCTTCCATACCTGGGTTGTACCCGGGTAACTCAAGTACACTCAGTACCCGGGTAACCCAGGTACACTCAATACCAGGGTAAATGCAAATATCGTGCACCTAGTACAACCAACACATGGGCCCGAGTGTATATTTGGGTACGGATAGACTCTCCCTGGTGCTGACGGGGGGGGCGCTGGCTGGCTACACTCCATCACATAGTGTGTGCTAAACACCAGCAATTGGGACGCGCCACATAGCCAGCCATCATTGGTCGTTATGGCTGCCTTGTTGGTGTGGCTGCCCGCACCTTGGCCACGTCAAGATTGGCAACAACACGGCTGGCACATGCGACCATTGGCAGGCAATTCCAATCACTTGTAGTGGCGCTGATCTTAGCGATCGACTGCCCTTGTGGTGCCAGAGTGCCTAGACGTGTGCTAACTAGAGGTGGCCACCCGGATCCGTTAATAGCGGACAGAGGTTAATTCCGTTAATTAATCCGTTAATTAACGGAAAATAATAAAAAAAGACAAAAATTAACCAAAAATTAACGGATTTTTGGATTTTTTGGGGATTTTTGGGTTTTTTTCATACTTATAGTTTATGGAATTCGCTATTAGAGAGTATGTTTGTATTTTATTTCAACTTATGCATACTAGATTTTCAACTAGCCGCAGATGTTGTGATTTTTTGGGTTTTTTTTCGATTTTTTTGGATTTTTTTCGTTTTTTTCTGAATTTTTCTCCCTTTTTCTTTAACGAAATTTAACGGACAGCTAATAAAAATTAACGAACCGGATTTAACGGACCGGATGGCACCCTTGAGTGGCCACCTCTAGTGCTAACACCTAGCATGGTAGTGGCCCCAATGGAGGCCGCCTTACCCAGTACTTTCCTGCCAAGTTTGGGTACACATTGTGGCAACACTACAGCGTGTGTTGAAACGTGGTGGGAAAGACGGGCCTACTTGGCTAGCGATTGTTTACAATATTGGCTACTGTCCTGGCACTCATCACCCAGCAACTCGTCGGGCAACTTGTCATACCACCTCCCCCTTCCCAAAACAAAAAATCCCATCATTGTGCCCTTCCACCCTCTCCTCTCCCCACACACTGGATCACCCCCCCAACCCCAACCCCCCAAAGGATGGGTCCAGTCGAAACACAACAATGTCCCTCCCACAACCCGCCGGCTCCTCCTTCCAACAAGGCGCCCCCAAGGGCACCCACCTAGAGCACCATGTACAACGCCCTTGGGAGGGAGTCTCCATTGTGCGGGGCGTATCAACGACCGCTGCTTACACTTGTGCAACACTCAAGTTTGTACCCTGATCCAGTAGTTAGCACCTAGACAATCCAGGTTTCTGCATGTACCGTAGTATATTAAACCCTTCTTCGTACTAGCGTAATGCTGCGCCCTTTTCCGCAAAGTCGATGAATAAAAAACTAACAGTGCCGGGGTGAGATGTGAAGCAGCCGAATTTAGTTATGGCCGGGGTGCGGCCTTGGGACGGGCCCCCGGTACCTGGCAGGCCACTGGGCGGACGATTGGAAGGCAACCAGGCGCCGACCGCTTGCCATCCGGGCAGCTCAGGCCTCGAACCCTAGGAAGCGATCGCAGGGGAGCGTGGGCGATCGATCGGCAAGCAAGCAAGCGCCCGCCACTTGCCATCCCTGTGGCGGGTCTCAAACATTGGGAAGCGATTGCAGGGGAGCGTGGGCGCTGACGCCGAAAGTGCCAACATGGAATGGGATAGGCTGGGAGTGGGGTTAGTTTGCGGGCGCTTGCGCTTGATTAACAAATAGGGGTGGGGTGGGGTAGTGGGAGGGGTGGGCCCGGGGGGATGCCTTGGGAGCCGCCCAGGGCTAGGACCATGAGGAGTAGGGTGAGGCAGGGGGGTGTGATGGGCTTATTCAGCTGGCACAAGTTTGTAGCAAGGGACCCGGCTTTGCGGACTAGCTTTGCGGGGAGCGCGAATGATCCCCAGAGCTGGGTGGTTGGTGTCACATGGTGCACGCATGTACGAGGCTTGGGACTAGTTTGTTGTACCTAAAACTTGGGATATAGCCTCTAGAGCCCCATCAGAGCCTGCGCGACACGATGTGGAGCAAAAAAGAAATAACATAACGGTCCGGGACGAAAATGGGGAGCAAGAACATATCAGTTGGGATGGATCGATGTGGAAGGATTGAATATGCTATGGTACCCGCGTATACGTAGGTACATGCCCGGAATCAGCTACCAAGGTAGGGGTGGGGTGGGGGGTGAGGGTACCCTTATAAGCAGGTGAAAGAAAAACTAGTGCCCGGCTTGGGTACTTGGGTTTAGAGTACTTGGGTACCACCCCTAATACAAACCATTGCAATATTGAGCAACTTGCAAAATCACCACCTGCCATGGTGCATGCTACGTGCACCCTCCGTAGTTGGCTGTGTGGTATTTTTGCCTATGCGCACATCGCCCAACCCCTAGATTCATCATTGTTCAGCTTCCCCATCTTACCCTAAGGTATGTGAGAGCTCTAGTAGCCTATAGGCATGGCAGTCTGTAGCAAAATGCTTGAATCGCAACTCATGACAATTGAGTTGGTGCAGTTCCAACGATGCTTTGGTAGGGCCCTTCCTATGTGAAATGTTGAACTCATGTCCTTGCACAAAATGACGGTTTGTTGAGGGTGCAAGCAGCTTTTGTGTATGCTATTATGGGCATATGTTTCAGGCTCTCTAGTTTTTTGGGAAGAAAATTCTCCCCCACTTTTCTTTCCATGATACCGTGCATTGTGCATAGGTGATCTCCACTCATGGTTAACAGCTCGAGGCCACCAATTGAGTAAACAATGCAAAATTCAAAGGAGTATAGGAGGGGAGAGGAAGGTGATCTACTTAAAAAAATTAATAAGGACATTATCACAGGTGAGTGTCTTATAACATTTATATGTGTTCCTATGCATTGGGATATTTTTGCAAGCAATGTCCACTAGCAGTCGTGATGATTTTAAACATTGTCTTAGATGTGTGCATATAAAGAGTGCGCTTGTATGTACAATCAAGATGTAACCATGGTATTTTGTAGCTTTGCGATTGATGTGCACTAAAGTTTGCTTAATTGTAATTTATTGTTATGGCAGGAGGGGGGGGGAGAATTGGCAAGGAGTGGGTGCGAGGGTTTTTCGGTTTCTCAGCTTCAGCAACAGAACAATGTCTGCAAATGTGGCTACATGTGGTGCAGAGCATCATTCAACAATACGCACTCAATGACTACATTCAAAGACTGAGGGAAGGTAGGTATTAACACAATTGTTGTTATTTATCATGTGACACATGTTGCAACGCTGTTGCAATGAAATTAACTCACTACTTTCATTATGCGCTCAATGCAACAATGTCATTTACCTCAAACATCTTTTTATACCTGATTTATCTGCTATTGTAATTCATTTTTGTGGAAAAATTTGATGGATTTTGTTTTCGATTGATCTATTTGCTAAATAAAATTAGCAATGTAGAGCTTCTTTTTCCAAGTCGTAAAAGGCTTTGGGAAGTGCAACCATTGTGCATTAGTGTTGGATAGTGAAATGATACAAGCAAAGAAGCGGTAGCCATGTGCTTTATGCAATTCTAAATGTTATTCCAAAAGGTTGCTCTTATGCCACTAACAAATGGTGTTGGGACTTTCGCAGTTTCCAACTGTATGATAATTGTATGTTGTCATAAGTAGTAACTTTTTGCATTGGGCACTATCAACTTTTCTTTGAAAATATTAGTTAACAATCTTTTACCTACCTATGTCTTTTCTATATTCAGATTCAACATGTAAGGATACATTTGTAATTGAAAGTATACAAGTCAAGTGGGTTGTGTTCTCATTCGACAAAGCACTAGCTCTATCATCAAAAAAAGTTTCTTTTTGAAGTTGTTATTGGCTCACATGAAGTTATTGTCTTACTCAACTTACCAATAATGAGTAACACACATACTCTAGTTTCATCTCTATTTGTTCCATTTCTTTTTAGAGTATAGTAAGCTTGTGGCTGATGTCGGTAGCTTGAGGCACCAAGAGTTACTCAATTGCAATTGTGGTTTTGTTGCTTGTGACATGTACTTGAAGTTTTAATTATTGTTGTAGACTGTGTTGTGTTTTAATACTAGGCTTATGAATGATAGGGCCATTGGATGTGCATGTGGGGGGTGAGCAATTGGGACAGGCAATGACGTGAGTACCCTTGTTGCATGCTCCAGAACTGCAAAACCCTCAACCGCAGGGGGCCCATTTGCCAGAACCTCAGTTGCACACAGCCCAACCGCAAGAGCACCTATTGCAAGGGCCCCAACTACAGAACCCTATGCTGCAAAGGCCCCAAATGCAGGGATCCCAGGTGCGGGGGCCCCAACAGCAGCAGGCCCTAGTGCAGGGTGTCTTGGTGCAGGGGGTCCAAGGACGAGCTCACCAGGTGGAGGGTTTCCAAGTACCGGGGTCTCAGGTGCAGGTGTCCGAACTACAAGGTTCCCATGTGCACATCCCCCAGGGGCCACAAGCACAGGTCTCCCATGGCCCCCGACAAGGCTCCCAGAGGCCCCAACTGCCAGAGACACAAGGGCCACAGTTGCAAGTGTCAAACTTGCAGGCAGGTCTTCATGGGGCTGATGTGCAGAGGCAACCATTGGTTGGTATCCAGTCGCAAGGGTTGCAATTGCTTGAAGCTTATGTCAGCACAACGCAAGCACTTGAGGCTCATGCATGTGTTGTCCAGTCTCAGATGTACCAACCACATGAGTTCCAGTCGCATGAGATGCCAAATGAAACCCACTGCCATGGATCAGAACCAGATGAAATGCATGTGCATGGGACCCAAGGGCTAGGGTACCAACCAGCTGACACCCATTTGCCTGCACCAAACTGGCAAGAGTTAAGCAATGTGCAAATGAGGCCTACAGAGATGGATATGCAACATGGTGGAGAGGGATTGGAAGATGACTTACATTTGGGTAAGTTGCATTAGTAGCAGAATATTCCTATTCCAAACATTAATGTTTGTTGTGCTACAAGCTACTACACAATACACCCTTGTCAATGGCATGTAACGGATTTGAAGATAGTTCATTTGAACATCTCTATTCCATACTCAAGCAATGCAAGTTACAAAACTTTAGTGCATTCTGATGTGCTACAGTTTTTGTAGGCATTGCCATGTTAAATGGCTCCATGATTGTTGCATTATGAACAATGATGTGCACTTTGCACCAAACACTTTTCTTTACTTTTGTAGTTTGTTGCGGCCCTATGTGCAACCATTTCTGGTGCCAGGCTTGATGATGATGGGTGGTAAAATGCAGGACTTGCATCCCAACAACAACAAGCTCATGGTGGTATGGGCTCTGAAGCCTGCGATGCAGATTCTGACCTAGACAACAATCCGAATGGGACGAGCATATGCGAGCATGACACTGTGGCATGCAATGACACTAGCGCGGTATTGCCGGAGAACCAAGTTGATGATGACGATGATGAGATCAGTAAGTATATTGTACTTAATATGCAAGTATGGGCATTCTCACCAGAGCGATAATATCTTTATGGAGACTATAGTTTTTGTTTTGTAGGATATGACTATGCAATTGGTAACATTCTGGCTCCAACTCTTGTGGGCTCACAAAGTCCATCTTTTGTTGTCCTCCATTTTGTTTTGTTTGACATGTGCTGGAAACAGGTTGAACTTAGCAAATGATCTGCACAAACTTAAATACATTGTTAATATTACTGATGTGTTTATATGATGTTACCAGTGCCTGCCTATCGCCAGTTCAATTTTGGTAGCTCAGCGCTTTCTCGTATGTTCTAAAGCCACTGGGCTTGCGCTCACATGCTCACAAGTCTGATCCCAACCCATTGGGGCCTGGAGCCATGCACCCTTGGGGTAGGCTCTTGGGGCGCCACCCTGAATTCCCATAAGGACAGAGGATGACTTCACTTGCATTTATACTCATTGAATACTGCGTGCCCCTCAATGTGCTACAAACAATTGTGTAGTATCAAAGCAGCCGGTGATGAGAGGGGAGTTATCACACAATGCGGCTCATAGGCATTGCACTCAGGAAAAAGTTGGTGGCTATGTCTTTGGTGCTTTTCCCTTCTCCATTGTGAAAACTTGTATGTCCAACGAAATTCAGTCAGAAGTTGTGCTTCTGAGTTGATAGTGTGCGGCCAGGGAATGTAGTCCATGAAGGATTGCAGATTTGACAATGATCTTTATGATGGGGATCCCAACACAATCCAGTGCGTTTGGCATGCTTTTTTTCATGAGAGGAATTCCAACTTTTGGCCATGAAGGCCAGAACATATTTGCTTCAGCACCCATGGGACGAGAGCTCCCTAAACCATGCAGATCTCTAGCGGGTGTGGAATCATCATGCACAATGTTTGGGCAATTCCTGGCCAATTTTAAATGCCCCCTCCCCCAGGAGTGTAACTGAAATTTTCCTCTGGAAATTGGTAACCAAGGGTTTTGAGACCCAATCTTGCTGATTCTAACCTTCTCTTGTAAGTGTTTGATGCAGCTGATGCCGTTGATTTGATGGATGCTGACAACTTGCTTGCAGTTGGAATGGAAGCTGTGAGAAGTGGGGATGCTGGAAAAGTGGAAGAAACCTTGCGAGAGTTTCATGCTTTGGTGAAAAACGAGAGAAGAGAAAAAGTGAAAAGGACGAAAGGTGTATCAAAGTTTTACAGAATGTCAAGCATCTTACTGAACGATCTGAAAGTGACTTTTCATGAGAGGACCCCATCGACGTCTGTATTGGTGCCAAAGTATGACAAGATCTGTGCACAAAGGTTCAGCGGATTGGCGTGCAATGGCACCGATTGTGAATTGTTCGGGTTTCTTTTCAGTAAGAACGATTCACGTGACACTCGTTTCTTGTTCTTTCCTCCTGAATGCCTTGTCTGCGTGGGTGACATTTGGCAACCTGATTCTGTGCCCCAATGGCTGGAAAATATTGGCAGGTTTGTTCGGAGACATGTGGATGAAAGCAACAAAGTGCTTTGCAAAGGGGAGTTGTTGCAGATGCTCAAAGATGCTGTAAAAAAAGACAACGGACCAAAACGAATTTTCAATAACCGGGCTCACTTTCTCATCGATGCAGTGGGGGTACAGGAGGTTGCAAGTCGTATTGTTCGTCAGCAGTTGGGATGTGATTTTGAAGTTGATAATTTGAAGTGGCTGGAGTCGTTGGGAAAGCAAGGGGGACCCGTGGCAATCCCCAGGGATTCTTGGGAACTTGCCTTTTTTGAAGAACTGAATGCCATGTGAACAATGTAATCTGGACGATTTTGTATGATCATTATGGTTCAGGTGGTCTGGTCATGATGCCGATGCCAATTTCCTGTTGGTAGCATGCAGTATAAGTAGGTCATGTGAAGACCTCCGCATGCTGATGCATAGGGGTCGTCTGGTAGTACACAAAAGCCATAGATGGTCAGAAATGTATGGTCGCCATATCCCATCACACAACCATGTGGCGCCTCCATGCACCCTCCTTGGCTCCGTCTCATCATGCTCCATGGCAAACCATGACAGGGGCGGCTGTCATAAATGGGGGTCTCATTCATGAAGCACATAGTTTAGCCAAATTTTGGCCCAAAAAAAGATCTGCTTCCGCGTTTCCTTTAAGCAAATACCTCTTGGGATGACACAAGCATGTTGAATAACTGACTTGCAACGGATTGATGCTTTCAAATCCAAACTTACATAAATTTTTGCAACACTGATTTTTTTTTTAATATTAGTGTGGTCAGTGTGCTGAAGGTGCTGAGGCTGTCGTCATAACCTTACCACCACTTCTGGACTTTACAGGTTGCCAGTTGAGTAGTATCGTTAAGATACCGATTTATCTGATGATTCCCATTAATGGCGAATATTAACTAGAATATCGTGGACAATTACATCAATTACTTGTTAGTACCTAAGGTTGATAAATTTATGGTAAAATGACTAAAGGGTTTTTTTGTGAGATATTCCGACAAAAGGGGGAGATCTATGAGATATCTTCACAAAAGAAGTTCCTCTGCGGGAATGCACTTGAACAAAGGGGGCCCTCAAACCGCCCCCCGTACTTTGGACTCGTTGCCATGCCAGCGCCACACTGGCGCCGGTTGGCAAGCCGGTCTTACTAGGAGCGACCTCACAGAGGACCCCATTTTGTCAAATGTACCTTTGCAGAGGACCGCCTTTTGTCAATTCCTTCTTGGGATTGTTGTCGGGTTTTCGCAACCCTGTCTGCCTTGATATATGAATTAAATGCAATTGTTTGGATCGTGGCTTTTCATAACTCAGTTGTCAAAACCATCGGTATGACATGGTTTCTATGCTCAAGGGTCATTTTCCAGCTAGATGTTGCCAATGACTTCTCTTTACAAAAAAGCACTTACAAAATGAAGATGCATGTGCTATGGCTTTTGTGTTGCAGACCTCAGCCTTTACAAAGCTCACAAACAAATAGAACATTCAGACCACAAGAGTCACACTAGAATGTTGAAGCTGTGGGCAGCATCTCCGATTGTGATTGGATGCACCACAATGCTGACAGCGATATGTTTTTTCTGGTTGTCCACTTTCACCCGTTGATTGAATCCTCCTCTTCTTGGGCAGCCCAACTTGCCTTACCCTTCACTGCAGGAGGTATAGCCTATTTTTCATGAACGTCCTCCTCCTGATCAGCAATTTCAGGGACAATATTGTGCAGCAATGTTAAGCAGACCTTGCCTGAATAGCCATCCCAATATGTAGATATTCTGAAGATGTGGTGGAAATATTTGTTGAACCATTGATTGGCATCAACAAGGACAGCAGTGTGCCTAGCCAAGTAGATAACATAATTGCTCTCCCCCAAACCCTGATCGCCGCTTGCGTCTCGCCCACAGCTCCGATTGCTACGCCTCCCTCACACAGCTCTGATTGCTGTGTGCAGTCTCTGGGAGCTTGGATCGCTGCTTGTCTCCTCGGCAGACCTGATCGACACGAATCCCCTTCGCGCCCCCATCGCCGCGCAACTCCCCTCCCTCGCAGGTTCTCCCCTAGTAGAACCGTGGTCCTGTCTGGCGCCGGACTGGCAATGCGCCTAATGTACGGGAAACGGTGAAACGACCCCATTTGTTCAAATGCACTCTTGCAGAAGACCTCTTTTTGTCACAGAGGAGCCCCTTTTGTCAGGATATCTCATGGAGGATCCTTTTTGTCATTGTCCTCAAGTTTATTTTCCAATCAAGGTTCCTTGTTATCTCACAAACAGAGATTTTTAATAGCATATCAATGAGCAAATAAGTATTGCCTCTGAGGTGACTAATATTGCTCTCAATCCCCCACTGTATGGAATCATAGCATTACTTAAATTTGCAGGCTTTCGTCAATTGGTTTTTGGACTAACTTGCCTACCACAATATGGGATTAACTTAAGCATAGTCAACAAGCATAAGACATAGCACCAGCTGCCCTCATTGTGCTTCATTGTGCATCATATGATGAGTGTTATTTCAATCATGATCAACAGCCGCATGGCAAGGCACCAGTTACCCTCCTCCGCCTCCTAGAAAGGTGGCTAGAGGTGTGGCATGCTGGCATTGGATACCTGTAAGCCCAGCAGTAATAATATCTTTCTGGCTAGTAACAAAGGGGATGCTATTAGGGTGATAGGTTTGAGGTTGGTGGTCATGCAACGGCAATATGAAAACACTTAGAAAAAATTCTTTTACGGTGCACAATCTGATTGTGAATGCATCCAACATTCAAGTTCATTTGACACTTGCGCCATGCACTCCCTCTCGCAAATCGCATTACATCGCTTTGCAACAATGCAGTCCCACATAGTGCATTGAACCTAAAAACTCCCCAACGGCTTGTCTTCATTGGGGCCCCAAAATACGAACGCGTAGCGCATCCCCTGCCATCTACCTGCCTGCCAGGCTATTCACCACAAATATTGCGCTGTGTTGGTAGGTTATTATTTGTTTTTCTTCGTAGCTTACAAGCACATCTTCTTGAGCACAATTTTCCTAAAGCCAGGTGATTTAGCCATATTTCAATGTGTTTACAAAAAACTGACTGATTATGGATATGTTCACTTGTGGGTGGCATGAATGGGTTTGTTACTCTTGAGGACCCACGTGGGCCACCAGCGAAACAACACAATCGCAGAGTGACGGAACGAAACACATGCAGATAACACAGAAATCATCTACAATGCTTTAATATGGAATTAAACGATGTCTCAACGGGCTTACTGATAGTTAACAGAGTTGGGGAATGTTCAACTGTGCGGGGGCATGAAGGGGCTGTTTGTGTTGGGGCCTCATGTGGCAGCCAACGAAATATCACAACCATGGAGTGACGGAACAAAACGCATGCACATACCTTAAAATTCGTATACATACACATTATAGGGTTGTCAAAACATGTTTCAATGTGTGTTCAACGAATTGGTAGAGTTTGGGCATGTTGACCTGTGGGCGGCATGAATGGGGTTGTTCCCGTGGGGGACTCATGGGGCCGCCAGCGAAACAACACAACCGCAGAGTGACGGAACGACACACACGCAGATAACTCAAAAATAACTTACAATGCCTGGAAATGGTATTCTATCATGCCTCAACGTGATTTCTAATAGTGTACAGAGTTGAGGTATGTTCACTTGCACGGGGGCATGAACGGGGTTGTTTGTGTTGGGGCCTCATGTGGCAGCCAGCGAAATATCACAACCATGGAGCGACGGAGCGAAACGCATGCACATAACTCAGAAATCATCTGCAATGCTTGGGAATGGTATTAAACCATGCCTCAACATGTTTGGTAATAGTTTCCAGAGTTGAGGCATGTTCAGTTGTGCAGGCGCATGAACGGGGTTGTTTGTGTTGGGGCCTCATCATGAGATGGCAGCCAGCGAAATATCACAACCATGGAGCGACGGAGCGAAACGCATGCACATAACTCGAAATTCGTATATAGACACTTTATAGGGTTGTCAAAACATGTTTCAATGTGTTTTCGGTGCATTGGTGGAGTTTGGGCATGTTGACTTGTGGGCGGCATGAATAGAGTTGTTTCCGAGGGGGACTCATGGGGCCCCCAGCGAAACAACACAATCGTAGAGTGGCGGAACGAAACACATGCAGACAACTCAGAAATCATCTGCAATGCTTGGGAATAGCATTAGACAATGCCTCAACATGTTTGGTAATAGTTTCCAGAGTTGAGGCATGTTCAGTTGTGCGGGCGCATGAACGGGGTTGTTTGTGTTGGGGCCTCATGTGGCAGCCAGCGAAATATCACAACCATGGAGCGACGGAGCGAAACGCATGCACATAACTCAGAAGTCATTTGCAATGCTTGGGAATGGTATTAACCATGCCTCAACATGTTTGGTAATAGTTTCCAGAGTTGAGGCATGTTCAGTTGTGCGGGCGCATGAACGGGGTTGTTTGTGTTGGGGCCTCATGTGGCAGCCAGCGAAATATCACAACCATGGAGCGACGGAGCGAAACGCATGCACATAACTCAGAAGTCATTTGCAATGCTTGGGAATGGTATTAACCATGCCTCAACATGTTTGGTAATAGTTTCCAGAGTTGAGGCATGTTCAGTTGTGCGGGCGCATGAACGGGGTTGTTTGTGTTGGGGCCTCATGTGGCAGCCAGCGAAATATCACAACCATGGAGCGACGGAGCGAAACGCATGCACATAACTCAGAAGTCATTTGCAATGCTTGGGAATGGTATTAACCATGCCTCAACATGTTTGGTAATAGTTTCCAGAGTTGAGGCATGTTCAGTTGTGCGGGCGCATGAACGGGGTTGTTTGTGTTGGGGCCTCATGTGGTAGCCAGCGAAATATCACAACCATGGAGCGACGGAGCGAAACGCATGCACATAACTCAGAAATCATCTGCAATGCTTGGGA